CCACGCCTGTACCCATACAGCTAAAAACAACTGGAAAACACACAACCATGCTTTAAATTCATGACCATTAACTTTAAGTGGATGTTAGTGTTTCCTGGCATTCCTACATTTTCCTAATCCATTTACTCTCTCACTCTCCCAGACAATTATTTTATACCTCCTCTTCAGGCCCCCAACAACATCTTCCCCATTCTCATTCTCAGAGAAAACAGATACAATCAGAAGACAATTCCCACCACCTACCTATATCTGCCCATGTTCTCTGTCTCCTTACTATAGACAAACTGTGCACACTCCTATCAAAAGCCACCTCCTCCACTTGTACACTAAATCCCATCCCTTCTTGCCTCCTCATGGACACTTCACATCAGTCCCTACTCTCTCCATCATCAATTATTCAGTGTCTTCTAGGCCATTCCGAGTAGCATACAAACATGCTATCATTTCTTTCATACAGCATGTTCCTCCACACACACAAAATGCTTCCCCTCCAGCTACCCATTTTCTACTGTTACTCAAAAGGATTGTCTCTTCTCATTGTCTCCAATTTCTCTACTCCCATACTTTCTTAAACTTGCTCTAATCAGGCTTTTGCCCCAATTCCTCTACCAAAACTGCTCTTTTCAAGGTCACCAAGGACGTTGACATTGCTAAAATCAATGGTCAATTCTGGACCCTCAACTTACTTGGCAGTAGTATTTGTCACAGAAGATCACTACCTTGAAACACTCCAATTATCACCCAGGACTCCACACTCTCCTGGGTTTCCTATCTCACTGACTACTTCTTCTCAGTTTCTTTTTCTGGTTCTTCTTCACTATTCCCAACATCTTAATGTTAGAGTGCCCTAGAGCAGCCCTGGTCTTTTTCTCTTCTTTCTCTGCATTTATATCATTGATAATCCCATCCAGTCTCATGGTTTTAATACCATCCACATACTGATGACACCCAAATTTATATCTCCAGCCCAGATAATTCCTGTTTGCCAGACTCATATTCAACTGCTTCCTTAAAATTTATACTCGGATGTCTGTCTAATAGGCATCTCAAACATACATGTCCAAAATCAAACCCTGTTCTTCACCACCTCACCTCAACCCCCCTCCAAAAAGCGCTCCTCTTGCAATTTCTACCATCTCAGTAAATGGCAACTCTATCTTCCCAGTTACTCAGGCCAAAATCCTGGAGGTCATCTCTTGACTCCTCCTTCTCTGACCCCATATCCAATCCATCAGGAAATCTTTTGGGTTCCACCTTTAAAATATATGCAGAATCTGACTACTTCTTAAACCACCTCCAATGTTACTAAACCAAGGTCCAAGCCACCATCAATGCTTTCCTAGATTACTGCAATAGCTTCCTACGTAGTCTCCCTGCTTCCACCTTTGCTCCCTTTGTAGCCTCACCACAGTAGCCTTTCTTTTAAAACATAATTTAGATCATGTCAATCCTCTGCTCAAAACAAAAAACAAAATAAAGTTTAAAACAAAATTTGAAAACTGAAGTTCTTACAATGGTCTACCTTCTACAAGGCCCTACATACGAAACTTTGATACCTCTTACTGCCTCTCCTACTACTCTCCCGCTTGGTCAATCCAGTCCAGCCATACTGGCCTCCTTGCTATTTCTAGAGCAATCTGGGTATGGTCTCTACCCAGTCTTTGCACTTACTGATTTCTCTGTCTGGAATGTTCTTCCTTCAGATATCTGCATGGCTCATTCCCTCACTACTTTCATGTCTTTGACCAAACGTCATCTTATCAATGTGTTCTTCCCTGACAACCCTATTTAAAACTTCAACCCATCCTCACTCAAGGCAGTCCCCATTCACCATCCTTTCTTTATTTTCCTCCATCGAACATATATTTAGTCCCCAGGGCCTAAAAGAATGCCTGGCAGATAGCACACACTCAGTAAACATTTATTGAAAAAAAAACAAATGAATAAATCAGAAATTAGTACATAGAAGCCAGATTTATTCTTATATACCAATTAAAACCTTGAAAAGAAATTTAATTTTTCACCATCGCTGAATACCTATATTTCTTTATCCTATAGAAGCAATTCAGGAATTTACACCATGGCAAATTCCATTTTTCATTAAATCCAAACTTTATTACTTTTTATTCTATTAAGGACATAAAGTCTTTCCAACTCCCAGTCATGATTTCTATAGAACTAGAATAAATGCTAAGCATCTAAGCACTGTATCATTCTATTTAATATATATGTATATATACATATACATATACACATATATCTACTTCTTATGTTCATTTATTCCTTATCAAATGATGACACACTCTAAGATTACACACCCACTGATAAAAATTCCTTATAAAAAGGGGTCAGGACTAAACTGTCAAGGTTATCAAAAACAAGGAATGTCTGAGAATGAAGCCTAAGAAAACATGACAACTAAATCTAATGTGGTATCCTAGATGGAATCTTGGAACATAAAAAGGACATTAGGTAAAAACTAAATAAATATGGATAAATTATGGACTTTAAGTTAATAACAGTGAATCAATATTAGTTCATTAATTTTAACAAATGTACTATGTTAATGTAAGATGTTAATAACAGGGGGAACTTGGTTCAAAGGTATATGGGAACTCTTTGCACTAGCCTCACAATTTTTCTATAAATCTAAAAATGTCCTATAGGATTAAAAGGGGAAAAAAGGGGGAGACAGTCAGCTTAGTATCATGTCCAGTAAATATTATACTCCTTTTAGTGCCAAACCTAAGCAAATCAAGAATATTGGTCTCAAATTTTATAATCAATACCAGTATAATATATATCATTAACAACTAAGTAATAAAAAATAAAAGAAAGATATCTACTACATATGAATCAAAGTTCTGGTTCAGCAATCATGCAAGAGAGCTAGTAAAATAAGGACATCACAATTAGATTCAATTTGGAGAGCAGATCTATTCAAGCACCACATATGTACACCCTTTAGTATTTTTTCCCTTTTCTAAGTTCAGAAACAGGTGAAAAGAGGGAGAAGGGAGGGAAAGGGGGAGAGAGAGAGGAAGAGAGGAAGAAGGAAAGGACAGAAGGAGAGAAGAAAGAAAGGAAGGAACTAACAATGGTTCAAGCAAAAAAATAAAGACCTGACTTTAAACTCAGAGAAACACAGAACTTAAATATAAATAAAATGTATGACTAAGTCACCTATAAATATGATAGGAACCTAAAAGAGATTTGACAAGATTAAACAATAAAACTAAATTATAATTCTCAAAAAATAAAATAAAGTTGAGATATAGTTTAGAATTTTTTTAAAATAAGGAAAGAATTCCTAACAGCAATTAATTACTACAGACCTGGAAGAGCTAGGAATACAATAGTATACTCCAGAAGAATATTTTTAAAAGAAAAAAAAAAGGTTACAAGTTTCTTAAGGTTAAAAACCATATTATATTCATCTCTTTATTCCCCATAGTGTCTGTACACAAGAGTTATTTAATACATCCTTTTAAATGAATAATTCATTTATATTATAGCTAAATGTTAATTCTCCCCTAAAAGAGCATCCAAAAGCAGTGCCACAGGAATCCAAAGCAGAGAGACCAGCAACGGCTTTTCTATAATTACGACATGACATCAGAAGGAAAAAATTTATTTGGGCATCAAAAGTTTCTAAGGAAAGATAAGTTTAGATTCTTGAAGGAACTTATGTTGCCTAAATATTAATAAAATGTCAATAAAGGGGATCATACAACTGTTCTTTTTTAATAAGAGAGAACAGAACATATTTTTAAAAAATAACAGCAACAGCTTTCTGCAAAATATCACATTTTAAAAATATATTCACTCGGTTATTTAATAAGTATTTTTGAAAAGTTACTACCAGTTATACGAAATACTATAAAAATTATAGAAATTTGGCCTATAGGGCAAAAAACTTTATAATTACTAGAAAAAAGTATAAATTGTAGAGAAACTTAAATTGATTATGAAATAAGAGTTTGATTGCAAGTATCTATGCCTAATTTATTTTAATCATATGTAAACTTTTACATTTATCAAAAGAGCAAGCCAATATTTCTATAAACCAAAATCCTACTTACAGAAGATGGGAGAGGGTAGGATTCTTCCCACACAGCTCTGCCAATTAGAAAATCTAAAACTATTATGGCTTATTTCGCACCCAAGGTCTTTATTTTATTTATAAAAGAATTGAGTTCTCAAAGTTCTAAATGTCATCCTAACTTTATAAGCCAGGCTACAATTTTGATGATTTATAACAATAGAAGTTAAATTTTTAAAAATAGTATATTCTATATTGCAACAAAAGCCTTACAAACTATATTATTATATTCTAGAGAAGCAAACAAAAAGGGAAGCCAACACAAACTCCAAAATATGTTTTCATATGCCAGTCTTGAGAATACTTTATGAAACCACTTAAAATATAGACTTTTTAAATTTTACATAATATTTAATGATATAATAGTGATGGTTTCACTAATAACCCAGCAATATAACCTAAAAAATAAAAGAGTTGACTTTATTAAATGGTAATTCAATTTTTTTCTCATTTCTAAATTATTTTAGTCTCTTCCTAAATAAAAATATTATTTAAGAACAAACTTCATATTTGACAAAAATCTTCATTAAATTCCTCAAAAATAAATCATATAAATGTAAGAATTTTCATAATAACAGCTATTCCAAGAGATTCTTATTTGAAGGGGGGAAAAAAATCTTACAAAATGTTTGTGAAATTACTTAAATTTCAAAAGATTAAAACCAATTATACATTTAATCTCAACAGATAACATCTTTATTTATCAAGATATACCTGTAAAAGCAAAATGAAATAAACTTATTGCCATATACTTCAAGTCATATCCTAAATTAGCAAATATAAATTAATATAAAAGCATTCTATATAAGTTTTCACACACCTCTACCACACTTTTGAACTCACTTGGGTAAATATGGATCTTTCCAACAGCAGCAGCAGTTTCTACAAAGTTATTTACCTTGTCCAGGTCTTGCAGTTACAGCTGCTCCAGCAGATGGCGGCTCAAACTCCTGTCAATTACAATAATGTTATTACAGTGACCTATTACAATGTGCAATTTATCATAAAATAGTAGTGATATCACAGCCTTACCTTTGCTTTCTTTGAGTCTGGATCAAACCTTTCAAGAATTAATTTAGCCGTTTTATAAGTTTCTTTTTCCATGACTTCCTCAAGCTGTGAACAAAAATTTCCATAAATTGTCACATTTTAAAACACACATACTATTTATTTTTATAAGTTCTATTTAAAAAGTTTCAAGTGCAAGGCTTAAAAGAAACAGCACATCATATGTCCAGATAGCATGAAAGATTTCCTACACTCAAATAATTAAAATCCAGATTTTAAAATGGCTTCTAACCTCTAATACGTTACTTGTATTTAACAGCTTTACTGCAAGGAAATACCAAATATTGCTAATTGTTTACATATAATGAGGAGAATAATTACATGCACCAACTTCAATAATGGAATGTGCAAAAATCTATCAGCCATCATTATTGGAAGTTATTAGACATGACAAGCAAATGACAGGCAATTCCTCAGATTTATTTCCTCATAGCACTTAATGCTATTAATTTAAAGAAGGTCATTAGCCAAGAGCTTCACAAAATAAAATCTCTGTGCCAATTAACTGCTGTCAGCATCGATTTTAGATTATTTATTAGCAGAAGCAATTAGCTTGCTGCAAATGCAGTGAAAACTAACTGGGAGAACAGCCATGGAATTTGCTCAAATGACTTTAAAAGCTGAAGCTCACCCTTTTTTACTTAGTTTCAAACAACTTTAGAGGTAAAAAACTGAACATAGTATGAATTTAAGTAAAAAATTTACTGAGTTCTATGATCACACTAGAGACTATAATTAAAATACTTCATTATTATAGCACTTTATTTACAAGGCACTCAAGTCACTTTATGGCTTAATACATGGGTTTAATGTAAAAAGTAATCACTAGCAAAGTATCATTTTAGCAGTTACGGCCCAACATCAGAAAAAGTTTAACTTGAGTACAAGACAGTCAAGTCAGACAGTAGAAGACAAATAGCTAATGTGTAGAATAAAATGCTTTTACAAAAATTGGAATGGGACCTTTTTCTTCTCAGTGACCACTGATAGCCCCTTAGATTCATTAAATGTCATATTTATTCCAAAGGAAATTTATTTTAAAATGCAACACAGAGCACAATGACCAAGTTAAAAATACACTGCCACAATAGTAGTTAATAGATTCCTCATTAAAACCTCAATTCAACATTTAAGAAGCTAAGTGCTTAGATGAATGATTTATTAACCTTGGTTTAGTGAAACTAAAACATTTCCTAATTATTTTAAAATTATGATAAATTGGGGCCAGCCTGGTGGCACAAGCGGTTGAGTGCGTGCGCTCCGCTGGGGTGGCCCGGGGTTTGCTGGTTCGGATCCCGGGCGAGCACCAATGCACTGCTTGGCAAGCCATGCTGTGGTGGTGTCCCATATAAAGTGGAGGAAGATGGGCACGGATGTTAGCCCAGGGCCAGTCTTCCTCAGCAAAAAGAGGAGGATTGGCAGATGTTAGCACCAGTATGATCTCCTCACAAAAAAAAAAAAAAAAAAAATTATGATGAAATCTTAAACAAGCAAGTTTAATTTTCTGATGTAAAAGAAATGTTTGTAACATCACTTTAGAGTTGGGGAAAAATTGGGAATGGAGAGAGGGCATGATAGACTATATCCCCAAACCAACATAAGCTACATGGACTATCAAAGAACTGAATCCCCAATTTCTACAAATTAATTTATGTTTTAGACCAGTATTGTGGCAATTGACTTTATCTAATTAATTATGAAAATGGTTTATATCTGCACAATACAGTAGCCACTAAGCCATACGTGATAAATAAATGAGCACTTAAAATGTTGCTTGTGCAACTGAGGAACTGAATTATAGTTTTATTCCATTTTAAATAATGTTCATTTAAAAAGCTACATGAGGCTAGTGGCTACTGATTTGGACAGCACACTTCTAGACTAAGACTAGTGCAAGGTTTAATCAGAAGATTAGATACAACTATAAGCTTTAAAACAATACACAAAACTCAAAACCAAAATGCCACTTCTCAAATGATTGCAATTCCCGGTACATAATTCAGCTAGTATTTGTGTTTATGTCTATGTACATGTTATCTTACAGAAAATCATTTTAAAAACCATTTAATGGATACAAATCCATTCTCCTTTTCTTTTGTATTTACTTCTAACAAAAATTTTTCACATAATATCTTAATTAACACACTTATCCATACAACATTTTAAGTGAATAACTTGTTTTAAGAGAGACATTCTGATCAGTGGAAAGAACACGAACTTGAAACTCTGAAGTCAGAAAAGATCTGGGTTCAAAGCACATCTCTATTCTTAATTAGCTAAAAAGACTTTGAGCAAGTCTGTTAGCTTCAGTTTCTCCTTTTGTAAAGCAGATACTTTACGATTTTCTTCATAGCACTATTGTGCAATTTAAATATAATATTGTAGAAGAAAGAGTCTACAACAGTACCTAACACAATAACAGCATACAATCTTCAAAGATACCTCAATTATTCAGAATGGGTCTGAAACAAATAGCGTTTCCAAATACACTACATATTTAATTTTTTCTTTTTGGTGAGGAAAATTCCCCTGAGCTAACACCCATGCCAGTCTTCCTCTACTTTGTATGTGGGATGCCTCCACAGCACGGCTGATGAGTGGAGTAGGTCCACGCCTGTGATCCGGACCAGCAAACCCAGGCCGCTGAAGCAGAACACGCAGAAATTTAACCACTCGGCCATGGGGCTGGCCCTAGCCAAATACTCAACATATTAATCCCAGGACTAGAGAATGAGAAACTGGATTCTCAGAATTCCCTAAATTATAAGTTACTCTGTATTTTTCATAATGTTTTCTACATTTTAAATAATAATGAATAGCAGAGTGAATTGTTTTTCTGTGATATGGTTATACTAAAAGTTTCAGAATTTTCTTATCAAAAAAAAGAGAATAAACACATGATTGTTTATTCATTATGAATCAACATTATTTTGACAAGATTATATATTTTGATAATATGTAAAAATTATTTCTATCTGACATAGATATTGCATCATAGAGAACACTTAAAAGAAGGGAACACTAACACAAAATAAAGAAAAAATTTTTTTGATTTTCTAAGATAATTCTATAAATATTTAATATTTAAATTATCACTGTTGAAATAAAATTTTAAAACACACAAAGCATTAATTGCCCTATCCAATATTCTAGATCTTATAATTGGTCCAATTATTACGAGTGTGCCCAAAAGCATCAGTTCAGAGCATTAGGGTACATGTTACATCATCTTTTTACAACAGTGAAAATACTGTCTGCTTACCCTGATTTTGGTTTTGCTGCTGAAATCACTATTGTTTTTACTCACTCAGATTTTATGTTATTTTCTGATTTCATATTAGGAGTATTCCACAATTATAAGTCACATCTTTTCTCTCTGCATTTCTTCTTTTAAAGTATTTACAAAGATCTGTAGCCTACAGTGAATATTCAACCACTGGAAATGCCAGCAAACATTATTGGGTAATATAAAAATGTAACATTTGAAACTTCTGGTGAGGTTAATAGCCCTACACAGAATCACATGCTGAAATTGTCAGTTTGACTTCTTTTGCTTCCAAAATTTATTTCTTGGAATATCATTCACAGGATTTTGTAAAAAGTGCATAAACTTATTAATACTTATTTGTAAGAATAACTCTCTATTAATAAGAAACAGGGCCCATAAAATATACTTATAAAATGGCCACAAAGGTAAGACTGACTGATTAATTAGATTGTGCCACTTCTCTTCTACACGCTCCTGTGCTCTTCCCGGAAATGTCCACATTAACCTATAGCTCAGCATGGCAGCATTTCTTGCTCTTGCTTTCAACTGACTTGAGTGGATTCCTTTGAACGAGTAACATTTGTAGTTGATTGTTAAGCTTTAATTTTCAGAGAATTATAACACTTCTTCCCATGCTCCCAATTTCTCAACTGACTTTTCTCAAGATTTGAAAAAACAAATTTCCTGAGAAATGCCAGAAAGGAATTACCATATAGAAATACTATTCTGGAAAAAGCACGGTATTTTCATGAAGCCACTTAAAGAGATCATTTTGACTCATGTGTTTTGATGGATCTTGATTTTGAACTGTTTAGATGGGATGCTTATGGATGCAGAGGGATTATCTATTGAACAGTGACTTTTTTAAAAAAACTAAAAGTTTTTTTAAAAGACCACAAAATATGTGAGTGGCAAAATGTATACATCCAGACTTGGGAGTTTTTTAGATAACTGAAGTTTCATTTCTAGCTTATTATAAAGAAGTAAATACTTACATTAAGTTCTTAGATTCAAAACATTGTTGTTACTCATTTTCCTAAGTGATTTGACTTTTTAATCAACTGATAATTCATGTTTATTGTTACAAATTACACTTTTACAAATTACATTACAAATCTATTCAGATTAAAGAGATGCATCCCTAAGGAAACCACCTTTAATAAAATGTCAAGTAGTAAATATAACTTGTATTAATTTTGTGAATGAAAGGACAGGGTTAGGAATTGGATAATTTTAGACTGATAAAGTTATTTTTCCTGCAGGTATTTCAACAATAAAAGTATTTTTAAAGCTATAAATGTAGAGTTTAAACGTAAACATCAATAAACAAGATCAGTTTTGACTACATTTAGCTTTTGCTCAAAAGTAATGTCCTTTCTTTTTCTTCTCATTACCAGCACACTCATTAGCTAGCACTGTGCTCCTTCCTAATTCACCCTTAACACCTATTGTTCTAAACAAAGTGTAAAGCTACTCAAACAAAGCAGTTCTATTATGGGCTTAAGCAATAAAGGCCAGGAACTAGTTCCCAGTAGCAACAGTCTTATAACCAACAACAGTCAAGTCAATGCAAATTGTGTTCCCTAATTAATAAAATGAGTTAGAGGAGCCAACTTATTTTTCTTTAATCATACTGCAAGAGAAATGCCATACTGAACTATTCTGTAATATTGATGCCTCATGAACCATTTAGATATACACAACTACTGAACCCTGAACTGAATTTCCCAACTGTGAGTCCTAGACGGAGCATCTTTTATGCTGTCATTCCTTCAAGGGCTATTAAAGAAGTAAACAGCCTGACTTGCCCTTGCACAGAATTTTCCAAGTCTGCTCTGTTACTCTATTGAGAGTTTTTCTCCAATCATATGTTTTCCAAGATTCTGTTTTCTGGTCGTGTGATGCCACTGACATGGGGTCAGCTTCTCATGACTAGAAGTTTTTATTTTCTTTTGGGTTTTTTTTTTTTCTTTTCTTTTCTCTTCCTCCTTGTCTTTTCTACTTTAATCAGTATTTTTCCATTTTGGTACAATAGGGCTTGGCTCTGATCACCACTACCAGCTCTTCTTCTTATATCAGCAAACTAACCAATAATATCACAACTTCTATATCACTGAGAACCATCAGTATTTCCTCACTTTGAATTTCTGGCTGTTCCATAATGTACAGAATGCCAGAAATATAATAAGATATAATGGGAATATTTCTATGTTTCAAATTAGGACCATCAAAAATGTCAATGTAATTTTGATAAATACTTCACAGAACACTGAAGAAGCATCAAACAGATAAGAAATCCTTTCAGAATTAAAGTGCCTTTATTTTTCATGTACTTGAAACCCTCAAGACCAGTGTCTTTTATTACCAATTCACAGAATAATTTTTTTTTTTTTTGATGAGGAAGATTGTCCCTGAGCTAACATCTGTTGCCAATCTTCCTCTTTTTTTTGCTTGAGGAAGATTGTCCCTGAGCTAACATCCGTGCCAATCTTCCTCTACTTTTTGTACGTGGGATGCTGCCACAGCATGGTTTGATGAGCAGTGTGTAGGTCTGCGCCTGGGATCCGAACCTGCAAACTCTGGGCCGCCAAAGCAGAGCATGCGAGCTTAACTACTACACCACCGGGCCAGCCTCCGCAGAACAATTTTTAACATTAATCTTAACCTTCATAATTTTTACTAGTTTCATACATAATTGTTACTTATTACATATTAGACTAAAATACATTGATCATTTGCATCTTATTAAATTGCATTAAATAAGTTTCCATATAACATGATATTGCTATCAATTATCATTTTCATACTTCAAAAATAATTATATGAAAAAAGCATATGCAAATTCAAGTTAAACATCAAGTTCAATTCACTTATTAGAGACCATTATATATCAGCCTCTAAATATCTAGGGTCCTTCCTCTCTTACTCTTGGCTCTCTTTCCAACACATCGGAAGGATGGCCCCACAATAGATACCCATGTGATCAGAGCTGCTGACAGAAAATGGAAGAAACCAAAGAAAAAAATTCTCTCTCTCTCCCCCCCTTTCTTCAGCCTTATCAAGTTAAATTTCTCTTTTACAACCAATCTTCTTGATTCTCTCTCTCCCAGCCTTATTGTGTCAAGAAAACCTGAGAACTGACATATGTAGATGTTTGGTCCTTTTTTGGAGCTAATAATCAATCTGGACACCCACCTATTTACCCACACTCTCATTTAGTCTTCCAATATGATTCATTTACTTACTCTTCAGCTTCCAAATGACAGATTCTCAGAATCTCACAAGTCCATATAACTACTTTTTCCTGTCAATCATTAACTAGCAAAAATATTCATAATGTAGCTTCATCATTAAAATGCTATCTAAAAGCATACTTGTTCCTTAGAGAGTTATTACTTACAACATATAAACATTAATTATTCAGTTCTTAATCTATTAGTTTCATATAAATTAACTTTAAATAAAAGTTAACTTACTATTTTTTTCTTCTGGGATTTTAAATCATCCAGTGCTTCATCTAGAAAACAAGATTTAAATCAAAGCTAAATCAGATATTAAGATACTTAGATACAAGAAAAAAATCATGCCAAATGATATACGTTAAGCAACCACAGGAAAACGTTCTCATTTTAGGATTTCTCACTGAGATGTATAGACAAAAATTACCTCAATCTTTACCCATATATATTTCATATTTTTGCCTATTTTATATAATACAAGCTAAGTAGTGGGAAAACGGACTTTACATAGAATAAAACACTTCCAAATTTAAAAAGATATATATTTTTAAATGTTTTCAGAAACATTACTTTCTATTATTTCTCCTTCCTTTCAACATCTCCTTCCTTTCAACATCTCACCCACATTAACCTCAAAATTAATACCCAAATCTCTTTTTATACTGTGGTAATAAAAATGTTCTCTCTTTGTTTATAAAGAAAGAAGTACATAATATATTTTATTAAAATATTCAACCTTTAAGATATTGAGCACTAATAAAGAAAACCTTTTGAAAACCTATAGTATTATACCTGAGGAGGGACTTGGTAAGGAAGGGGATACTAATTACTTTTCTTCCCCCCCCCCCCCCCAAAGCCCCAGTAGATAGCTGCATGTCATAGTTGCACATCCTTCTAGTTGCTGCACGTGGGACGCGACCCCAGCATGGCGGGAGAAGCGGTGTGTCGGTGCGCGCCCGGGATCTGAACCCCGGCCGCCAGCAGTGGAGCACGCGCACTTAACCACTAAGCCACCGGGCCGGCCCTTTTTTTTTTTTTTTTTAATTTTTTTTTGTTTGTTTGTTTTTGTTTTTTTTTTTGTTTTTTTTTTACTAATTACTTTTCAAAATTAAACTGTTCTAAAGTGTGCCCTGCTTACTTAGGTTGGCATGGTGGAACAGGAAGAATCATTTCAAAGGGTATCATTTGTGAATGTCAATGTCTGTTTTATAAATTTATTTTAGGTTTCTAGTTTTTCTCTAGAAATATTTAAGTGTACAATTGGGAATGCAATTCCAGCTGGAAAGAAGAAAGTCGTAATTTGATTTAAACAATTTATCAAATAGAATTTAAATAACTGTTCTTAATTTTTAATTAAATTTATAAATAAAATTATCTCTTCATTGAAGTTTTGGGGTAGCAAACATCTGAATACTCAATTCAAAGTATATTATTTATGTAAAAGTCCAAAGAAATACAAACTTATAAAAAGATAATTTTACTATAAAACTTTTTTTCAAAATATATTAAGTAGTCTTGAATGTGCTAGCAGACTTATTACTAAAGAGGAAAAAAATCTGCTGACATCTTTAAAAAGAACAATCATTTTTAGTTAGATAAGACCAAGCCAAATATCTATCCTTTAATCCAGAGGTCAGCAAACTTTTTCTGTAAAGGGCCAGACAGTAAATATTTCGGGCTTTATGGGCCAAAAGGTAAAATCAAGTTGGTAATTTTAAAGCAAAAGAGAAAACAAACTCCCACAAACTTTTTATTGACAAAATTCAAATTATGTAATAATAATTGAGTTCAATTTTTTGTGATATAGGTCTACCAATGAAAAGAATGAAATTATTTCCTTTTGGGTGGGGAGAAAATATTTCACTTAATTGAGGTTCAAAGTTAGGGTTCCCTATCATCAAAATTGATTGCAACTGTTAATCTATTAATGTTGATCTGTAATGAGATTTTATGCATTTGATTTTTGAAATTTTTTTTTCACACAGACAGGTACTGCTGTGTGAAAGATCGAAATCAATCCACAAGCACATGATTTTAATTAAGCATGTTCACTGTTTGGAAGACATTTATAGAATTCCTTAGATTCTTGATATTTGCCTTTTATCATGTCATTACATTGCAAATTAATCACTTCCAACTGAAGATTAGTAGAAGCTCTTCAATTGTACAGTTAAGTGGATTTTGAAATATGGAAATTTCCTTTGCACTTGTGTGAGGTTTGGAAAACACTGCTGGAACTGTAGTTTGAGCTCAGATAACATATCTGCTACATTGTGTGGGAATGGAGATCTTGCTTCTTGTTTTAACTTTTCATAGCACTTTTTAAAAAATTCATTTTTGTCATTACAATGTTGTTTGTTTTCTAAATAACTTGACGGCAGTATAGGTTTCCCATTGTTTTGTCTTGCAATCCTAGGCTGAATTCATTAAGAACCATCCTCAAGTCTGCAACAAAAGCTAATTTCCAAAGCCAGTCAGTATTCAATCACAGTGGTTGAAGGTGGTTCTTCTCACTCAGAATAATTTTAGTCTGAGCTCTGAGCTCAAAATGTCACAATAAAACTTGATCACTGCTAAGCCATCACACTTCTGTGTGGCAAGGCAGGTCAAGATATTCAACTTCTGTTTCTGATAAAAGTTCACATAACTGATGATGGTTAAGTCCATGAGAGCAAATGAAGTTCCCCGTTAACACTACTAGTTCAAGCACACGATAGGTTCAATACGCTCTGCAAAGTACCTGCTGTTGAATAACACGGTGAATAACTGTTGGATTTAAACACCTTACAGTCTCATGAACTTCGAAAATTAATCCAACTAAGCCTTTTTCTGCTTCACATCTATTTTTACCACCAATAGTTGTAACACATCTTAGCAGATTTCACTTCAGGTTGTATTGAATTAGGGTTTTTTCAACTTCTTTGAAAATATTCTCTCCTGGAGTTGTTCTACACATTATATTTATAGAGGCTAATTCTTCAGCCACTTCAAGCTCAGTACTGACTCCTCAAATAAACTAAATAAATTGAGTGGTATCAGTAACATCTGTCAACTCATCAAGAGCCAAGGAAGATCCCTTGAAATCATTTGCCTTGTTTTTAAATTGACTATGTTGCTTCCAATGTTCTCAATTTTTTAAGCCATTGTTCTTGCCAAAAGGCTACTACTCAAGCAAGTATATTTTCTCTGAACAAAAACTTCAGCTGCTGCAGTTAAATGCAATTAACTCACCATTGGTAAATGGCTTTCTTTGCTTGACAAATAAGCCACTGAGAAACTTACTCTGGTTGAAGCTCCATTTCCACTTTTTTATTTTTGTACGAAGAAATTCTGCTATAATGAGATATTCCATTTTAAATGTTCTAATTTTTCTGAGCATTGCTTTTTTTGTGAGTTAGGAATATCATGTTGAGTGCTTAGTATGGTAATGTCAATGTATAGTTGTATTCTTTTAGCACAGCTATAATGTCATTGCATAATAAACAAAATATTTTGCATTTTGATAAGAGTAGTCCACACTCCATTGCACCCTAAAAGTGCAACATTCAAAGTCCAATTTTCTCTTCTTTTCTTGTTTTTACATGATGAATATGCACTGGTAATAAAAAATAAATAAAATTGTCTCAATACAGCAACACACGTGGCACCTGAAATGCTGTCAAGTCATAAATGTGTCACTGTGATTTGTTGTGCATCTTGCAAGTCTGAAGTGTTGAGAGCACCACATACACTCTGTCTCAGCTACTCAACTCTGCCATTACAGAATGAAAGCAGCTATAGACAACGTGTAAATAAATGGGCCTGGCTATGTTTCAATAAAAACAGAAATTTGAATTTTATACAAATTTAATATGTCACAAAATATTATTCTTTTGAATTTTTTCAATGATTTAAAAATGTAAGAGCTATTCTTAGATCACGAGCTGTACAAGGTGTTTGGAAGGACTCGGCTCACAAGCTGTAGTTTGCCAACCCTTACTTTAATCTATACTAGGTCCAACTTGTAAAACAAAGGAAATAAAACTAATAGAAAACAAAAAGTAAGGACAAATAGCTTCAGGCTTAAATATATATATACATCTATATATACACACACATACACACACACACACACACACACATATATAGTACCTGACTTTATGCTAAAAAAAAAATGTGTAAGACTACAAGACAATCTTTTATGAAGTCTATTTTAGGTGTACATACAATTCAAATAAATTAGTAAAATTTTTTTAAGTGAAAGGATCCCTGAAATAAATTTTTAAAGCAAAAATCCCATGTAATAGCCATGTCCTGACGTACCTACTTGTAAGTTAAAATATTCACGCATTTGATTTCCTCAGAGAAGTTTACCAAGTACTCTTAAAATAAGATTTCTCATATTTTTCACTATTTTGTTAGTTCCACAAAGTCAGAGAGCATATTTTTTTTAAATTTCTTCCTGTACTCCCAGTATCTACTAAATTACTAAATATCACTGGAAACAATACCATAAGCTCAATTTCCTTAATCTGACAAAGAGTACCAGTATTTTTTAAAACCACAGCAAACATCATACTTTATGGTAAAAATTAAAAGCTTTTCCACTGAAATCAGTAACTAGACAAGTATATTTGCTCTTTCCATTTCAATTCAATATTATACTGGGTCCTAATCCACTAAATAAGGCAAGAAAAATTTTTAAGGCAAGAAAAATAAAAAAGAATAATGATTGGAAAAGAACAATCAGTACCATCAGCCCATATGTGTATAACCCATTGCAATTTTTATATGCTTTTACAAATAGTTTCATTTAATATGTGTAATAGCCCTGCCAAAACAAAATATTTCTGTTTCCATTTTATAAATTAGGAAACTGAGGTTCAGAGAATTTAAATTTGTTAGTAGGACAAAAAGATGGCCAGCGTGGCTGGAGCAAAAGACAAAAAAAGGAGAGTGAAAGGAGATAAAGTTAGGAAAATGAGCATAAGTCAGAACGCTGAGGTAAAAAACCAGATTTTACTCTGATTGCAATGGAAAGCCAATAGGGAATTTTAAGCATAAGAGACATAAGATCTGATTTATACCTTAAAAACAGTCTAGTTAGGAAGCCACTGCAGTAGTGCAAGCAAGAGATGACGGTGACCTGAATTAGAATTGTAATAGTAGTAAAGAAAGTTAGAAGTGGTCAGATTCAAGATAATTTGTGAGGTAAAGATGATTAGGACTTTGAAGGAGAGAGAGATATGCATGGTAGATTAAAGGGAGTGTGGAGTCAGGACAGAGTTTTTTGCCCCAGATGATTGTATTGAGGCAGGATTATCTAAAGGACAATCCAATAGAAACAGATGATGCAAAAGAGAAGATAACTGCAGGAAGGGATAACTGCAAAAGCAAAGTTCTTGAGATGGCCAGAGTATCTAGAATCCAGAGCATAAACGGAGGGCTTAGCCACAGATAGGATCCAGGCCAGTCTTTCAGAATACCATGAAGGATGACAACATACTGAGTAACACATGGAGTTAATTTGATGTATTTGGTGCTGGAGGTCGTGCTCACCTGTTTACATCTATTTTCTCCAGAAAGTGAGACAAACAGGTGAGAGTGGCCAGGTAGATTTTGTGGGGTTTTGTTTGTTTGTGGCTTTTGAATTTTTTTTGGTTGGTTGCTTTTATTTTGGTTTGGTTTTTGGTAGGGAGGCAGGTATTAGTGATCTGAGGAGAAACACAATTTCAAACAATGCTCTCAAAGAGAAAAAAGTGAATTTACTAGGGAACTATAAAACAGAACTGTGTAGCAATGTTGAGTACACATCTGATATTTGCAATCATAGACTTAAATAAGTCTGGTTAGTAAATAAGTCTGGTCAGCATGCTATATAATCTTCTAACAAATTTAGCTTTTCTGATGCAGGCATAGATTAAGCATAAAAATGTTTTTAACCAGGATAAGGTTTTGCCAGTCAAAGATTAAGCATTTAATTATATTTAAACAAGGTACAGTTTGCAAGACAAGTAGGATAGTAAAGAGGGACAAAGGAGTCAATGGTGTCTGCAAGAGATGGTCTTCGGGCCAGACCATAGAACCTAAACTGGGTAGAAGACAAGTCATAAGCAGCGATGGCAGTTTGAAAGTCATATATCTGTATGAACCTTATTTGGATCTTGAGTCAAACAAACAAAATATTTTTTAAAGCAAATGACATTTATGAGATAATTGGAAATTCAGTATTTTTATATTTAGTATTTTACAGTATTAATAATTCTTTTTTAGGTATGATAATATATTATGTTCATATATTTTTTAAAGTCTGTTATGGAAAGATATAGCTGGGATATACTTCAAAATAATACAGGAGGTGGAGAAGTGAGTAGGGGTAAAAATGAAACAAGATTGACCATGAATTGATGATTATTTAGGTTGTGTGATAGGCATATGAGGATTCATCACACTATTCAGTCTACTTCTGTATATGTTTAAAATTTTCTAAAATGACAAGTTAAAATAAGAAGTCACATATAAAGTTCATTTTAAATGAAATTTGCATATCTTTAATTATAACTCATAATTTTAAGATCTGAAAATCTTTAAAATCTGCACATATACAGAACAAATACAGAAGGAGATTACATCATAATTTGCACATTTCAATAAAAACAAAAGCCTAGGGGCTGTGAGGTTAAAGAGAATGGTGCAATTAATAGAACAAATCAAAAGATGTGTAACTACATTTTATTCCATAATAACATAAGTTTTTTATAAAGATTAATTTAAAAAATATTTCTCTTGATTTAAAGAAATGAATTGTTTTGTGTAAAAAAAATTCTAAATGAATAAGACAGAAATAACAAATGAAAAATAGAATCATCTTGATCATTCATAACCCTTCTTATGCTTTACAGTAAACAACTCTTCAATATTTACCATGATGTCATTTCAATATAGCATTTCACAATCTGCCATTCAATTACAAACCAATGCACTATAAGATGGGTTTTTTAAATGTGTTTATAAAAACTTAGAAATTAAACTTACTATTTCTTTCTGTTCTCTTGGAAAAGAAGAAAATAAGCACTGTTCTTATGCTCCAGATGCTACAGAGGAAGCAAAATTCAGAAACAAAAACCATCATTAGGATAAGTGAATAAGAAGGCATATAAAACGAAAACAAATACACATTTCCAATTAGAGTTAGGTACATTGTTTCCATTTATATTTTGAAAATCAAAAAGTACTCCTTTCAGAGACCCTCAGAAGTCTACCTGTGCTTTCAAAGGAGGAGTTCTCACTCTAAAATCCATGGACTTTCTGAGGGTCCCTCTGAATCGCAAAATCGCCTTTGTAGGCATAATTGCATTTCTTTGCACACAGCATTGCTTTCATCAATGTCAAAGGGGTCTCTGAACCCTTCAAAGATTAAGAACAAATTATAGAATCCCTTCTTACTAAGTAAGTATCAACTCCAAAAATTTGTCTATTCCCATGCATTAAAGGAAAAGGAGGTTTTACAAATCCAAAGCATTATACAAATGTACGTTGCTTCCCTATTATTTAACATTGGAGAGCTCTCTCTCCACTAAATAGAATAAGCTATCTGGAGGAAAAGAAAAAAAACCTTACCTTCAAATAAATACTTGATAAGTAAACTTAGCTAAACACTTCCTTCCAAAGATTTTATGAGGATAATTCTTCAGGCTTTGCAATAGTAAGATATCAAACGATATTAAAAGATGTAAAGAAAATCAAAGAATGATCCTAATCCCAAGCTAATCACATAGCAAATATCTCTTTCTCCAGAGAACATAGCACAATAAGTATCAAAACATTATTCATCTTATAAAAGAAATACATTATATTTGAATATAAATTCAGATAATAAGTATGAAAATTAGTTCTTCACTGAAATATATCATTTCTATTCTTGGGAGTCAGCCTGTAAGGTAATCACCAGTGAACCCTGTCTCCCAGTATTCACACCTTTGTATGGTCCTCTCTCACCAGTGTCGGTCTGTGTGACCAATAGCATGTGGCAGAAGTGATAGTATGTCGCTTCAAGATTAGGTTATAAAAGACTGCAGCTTCCATCTTGGGCCTCCTCTTCCACTTGCTATCTTTCTCTCTCTTGGATTACTCGGTCTGAGAGAAGCCAGCTACAATGACATGAGGACATTCAGGGAATTCTACAGAAAGGCCCATGTGGTGAGGAAAAGAGGTCTCTGGCAAACAGCCAGTGAGGAGCTGAGGCCTGCCAGCAACTACATGTGTGAGCTTAGATGTAATACTCCAGCCTTAGTTAAGCCTTGAGATGACTGTAGCCTCAGCCAATAGCTTAACTGCAATTTACATATGAATAAAAGACCCTGAGCCAGAACCACCCAACTCAGCTGCTCCTACATTCCTGCCCCTCGGGAACTGTGAAAGATAATAAACATTTATTGTTTTAAGCTACTAAGTTCTGGGGCATTTTGTTATACAGCAAGAGATAACTAATACATGCTTCTTATATTGTGATGATTTATTTTTAGCATATGAAAACACCCAATAACCAGCACCAGATTGCTATATGGTACTTGGACAACTACCTAAGCACTAAAAAAACACTGCGCGTTGTCCTTATCAAGGGAAGGGAGATGAGAGAAGAAGTCAAACATTCTGCTCATAACCCTCAAGGATCCTACAACGGTAGAAAAGTCCCATACTATTTCTCCACTGCAAAACCACCAAAACAGTGGCAAGCCGAGAGAGATGATTTAGCAAAACAGTACAGGGGAGGAAAACTGAGAACACAAGAGAAAGAATTGCAGAGATTGTGACTAGAATTCTGTAGGACATCAGTAAATTTTCTTAAGTGAGTAGATACTTTTTTTAAAAGTGTATATAATTTTCAAAGGGTAAAAACTACAATAATTGAAATATACTCCCTTTCTTCAAAATAAAACTCACTAATTCCCCTTTGTGAACAATGAATTCTCCTCTTTGTTTTTATCAGAACTACTGCTGGAGAAAATGAGCTATCAAACAATACACATTTCCATGTGTCAAGTCTTCAAGACTTTAAAAGGTAGAACATAGGGTCGGCCCCGTGGCTTAGCGGTTAAGTGCGAGCGCTCTGCTGCCGGCAGCCCGGGCTCAGGTCCCGGGCGCGCACCAACGCACCGCTTCTCCGGCCATGCTGAGGCCGCGTCCCACATGCAGCAACTAGAAGGATGTGCAACTATGACATACAACTATCTACTGGGGCTTTGGAGGAAAAATAAATAAATAAAATTATTAAAAAAAAAGGTAGAACATATAGAATTAGTTATTCTTTAAGGCTAAATTAAATACAATTCTTTTGTAGTTTTAAAATAAAATTTAGAAAAAGAATTAAAGTACTTCAGGAATCTACATTCTAGTTATCCCAACAAAAGTTTTGCTCTCCCAATAATTAAATATAATTTATGAAAATACAGCAACTTGTTTGGGGGAGATATTCAAGATACTATCACTGACTCCTACTTTGAGAATAGTGGCATAATCTCCATTTCCTCCTCCTCATCTTAGAAATCATCCAAACAAAAAAGAGAACAAAAACAAAAACATAAATTTCTTTTCTGATAAAATTAAGATAGAGCTAAAAAACACAACACTCAAAATATGTGGAAGGGCTCCCAAAAGCAATGAAGATCATGCAGGGGCTCAAAAGAGTGGAAGCAGAGAAGGAAAACCGCTTATCTCACAAAGAGGTAGCAAGATAAACTTCTCAAAGTATAAAGTCTAAAACCCATATTTATAATAATGAGAATAAGACACACATGCTACAGGCAGAAACTCCTCAGTTTGGTTCCAACAACGAAACAGGGAAGGCAGAGTTCAAAGAGAAATAATTCAGAAATGCCTTATTTACAAAGAACATTCTACTTCTATGGCAGCAGAAGAGAAAAGAAGTTTTCTATTATGAAAAAATACTTTAGCCTAATACACCCTATTGGCTGGGGAAAGATAAAAGCTGAACAAACTAATACACTAAATCCTGGATCATAAGGAAAATTTTAGACAGCCTGGAATGTAGGAAGACAAGCCTCCATACTCTCACAAACTTCCTACAAATAACTGGGCCAAAGTAAAGTAAACATACCACATAGAGATTTTTTTGGTTATAAAAGCAAAATACAAAAGTATGTTTCAAAACTTAGACCAATGTCTTTCATCTCAACAAACATAAGTGAGCTAAATCCACCAGAGCAAAAGAAAAAGACTTTCAGACTGGATCATAAAAGAAACCCCAACTCTATAATGTAAACTGACATCCAAGTGGTTTTGAAGGTTGAAAATAAAACAATGGGCAAAAGTATACTAAGCAAATACAGACAAAACAAGGGTTCTGATCTTAACACTCCACAAGGTTGAACTCAAGACCCCTCTAAAAACGCTTTTTTAAAAAAAGAAGGTCATTTTATAATGTTAAGAAGGATGTGGTTCCTTTCCAACACACAGTGCTGGAGTAATTAGGCATCAATGGGCAAAAAAAACCCAGAATCTCAACACGAACCTCACACCTTATATAAAGATTAACTCAAAATGGATTATGAACTTAAATGTAAAATATTAGAAGAAAAAAAGCATTAAAAAAAGCAAAGAAGAAAATCATAGCTAGGGAAGCGTTCTTGACAACAAAAGCACAACCCAGAAAAGGAAAAATTAATAAACTTTGCTCTACGAAAGACGTTATTAAGAGGATGAAAAGACAAATTGTAAACTGGGAAAAAATATTTGCAAACCATATATCCAACAAAGGACTTGTATCTACAATATATAAAGAACTCTCAAATCCAACAGAAAAAAGATTAATAATCCAATTAGAAAATTAGAAGATATGAACAGACATTTCACTGAAGAGGAGATATAGATGGCAAATAAACACATGAAAAGATGTTCAACATCATTAGCCATTAGGGAAGTGTAAATTAAAACCACAATGAGATATCACTACACACCTATCAGAATGATCAAAATAGAAAACAGTGATAATACCAAATGCTGACTAGAATGCAAAGAAACTAGATCACTCACACATAACTAGTAGAAATGTAAAATAGTACATCTACTCTGAAAAAAAGTTTAGCAGTTTCTTATAAAACTAAACATGTACTTACCCAGAAATTACACTCTTGGGCATATACCCTGGAGAAATTAAAACTAATGTTCAGACAAAAACCTGTACATAAATGTTCAGAGCAGCCTTATTTGTAATAGCCAAAAACTGGAAACTATTTAAATGTCCTTCAATACGTGTATGGTTAAACAAACTTGGGATATTAATACCATGGAATACTACTCAGCAATAAAAAGGAACTAGTGATACACTTAAGATCTTGGATGGATCTCAAGAATATGCTGAGCGAAAAGTGCCAACTTCAAAAGGTTATATACCATGTGATCCCATTTTATAACATTCTTGAAATAACAAAATTATAGAGGTGGAAAACAGATTAGTGCGGGGCAGGGATTAGAAATGGAGCAGTTGGACAAGGGTTGGTATGACTACAAAAGGGTAGCAAAAAGGAGCCTTATGGTTTTGGAACAGTTCTAGATCTGAATTGTGGGGTAGTTACATGAAGCTACACATGGGATAAAATTGCATAGAAATATAAAACACACATACAAATGAGTGTATGTAAAACTGGTAAAATCGGAATAGGTTCTGTGAATTGAACCAATGTCAATTTCCTGGCTGTAAATCTCAAATAAACAATCTAACAATGCACCTAAAGGAACTGGAAAAAGAAGAACAAACAAAGCCCAAAATCAGTAGAAGAAAGGAAATAATAAAAATCAGAGCAGAAATAAATGAAATGGAGACCAAAAAAACAATAGAAAAAATTAATAAAACCAAGAGCTGGTTCTTT